ATTTTCATATTAATGTAAGAAAATATTACTGCCATCAAATGACTCGATTATCCTTGTTAATTTCGTATGCAAAATGCATTTAAGCTAGTATTTAGACTTTTTTTATACATTGAACATACTTAATTTGAATCCAAATCCTAGTACAATCGCCCACGTGGTGACAGTGTGAAGACTTTAGCCTTATACTGCTCGGGTTTTTTACAGTTCTGTATAAAGTGTTAAATATTGATTGAAAAAACTAGTCGATGACGTCATTGACTGTTTAGCACCAGGCGTCGCGAGGAAAGGTCAGTTGAGTTGACCTGACGACTTGGGAAATTATTCCACAGATATATCTGAGGCAGAGAGATGTGTGGACAAACACATCACATGTAACGCTAAATATCTCTACCACACCGTTATATTGAATCAAACGCTTAATTACATTCCACTTTAACTTAATTGTAACGTACAGGGTATATATAAAGATACAAATTGTACCGTTAACAAACTGCTTTTCACGTTCCTTTGGCGTAAAAGTAGACTTGCCTTTGATAGTTCAATTGTCAATGTAACTCAATGACTGGAAGGGAATCACACCTGTGTTTTATTCAATTAAAGAACATATTACGTGTTCGTTGACACTACATGGATACTTATAAAGCACCATCAAGATATTTCACCTGCATCATGTAATTTGATTTCTTACCTCGATGCTCTGCCAATTGATCCACAGTTGTATTTATGTGGTTGGTATTTCCTAATATAGTACCACTTACTGTTTCGTGTTTTGTGTATTTTGCTTTCCTATACAAAACTACTGAAATCTGTTTTATGAAGACTAACCTAATTCATAACAACTACAAGTTTGCCCGTTGTATGTATAGTTTATTTGTCGATCACTAACTTCTGTTCTGCTTTAGGTTTATGTAGTTTGTTTTCTAATATATACACGCTGCAATAGTCACGTGTTTTATTTTGCTTGTTGTTAATATGAAATCACTAAACACTTATCTTGTGTAGGTTCCTTGTTTCCTTATATTGAAACATTGGAGCTTGATATGTTTTACGTGTAACCTAGCCTGTTTTCTGACGTAGGGCTACGGTCATTTTTTTATTTATTTATTTTTACTTCCCAGACATTTTTTTTTTTTTTTTTATTATATTTCCAAAATTTATGACATAAACATATATATAAATATACATACAATATTCTATCAAGTGTCAGTATTCGTCTTAAGGCCCGGTCACACAGCCCTCCACGGGCGTATCGCGGCCGAATCACGGCCAAAAATTTCTGCCCGTGAAGCAGACGCTGTTGGACGCTTTGAGGTCGCGATAAAGACGCGATACAGCCGTACTTTACCCGTCGTTACACGCGGTAAGAAATTCACACGCGGTTGGCCGCGCGAAAAAGTTTTGGGCTGCCCAAAAATTTAGACCGCGGGTAATCGGGGGCGGTACACGTGGTACACACGCGGTAAAGACGCGGTACAGACGCGGAACGAACGTGCTAGGACGTGCTACGGCCGCGGTTAAGACGTGGTTACACGCGGTAGGACGCGAAATTTTAGCGGGTAATCGCGGGTGGAGCACGGTCATAGCACGTTTGTTCCGCGTCTGTACCGCGTTGTTATCACGTGCATTAGCGTGTGTACCGCGTGTAAACACGGACAAACGCCTTTCTCCGCGTAAACAGCGCGCCCCAATACCGGCCTAATCACGTTCAATTGCGTCTTGTACACGTCCCAAATACGATTGTCCACGGCCTAATCGCGTCCGTACAACGTCTGATTTTAGGTATATAAAAAGCGCGATTTGCCGAGCATTCGTCAGTTGTGCTCCAGACGTCAAGGGGTGAACATGGATCCCCGTCACCGTAATGACCTCGTCTTGCTGCTCCAGCAGCATCAGAACCAAGTGTCTTGAGCGGTTATGATTTCTACAGCCCGGTTCGGCTGCTTTATTATACCCGTGGTAGGCCGCGGTACCGCCGCGCTTCACCCGCGATAAGGACGCGGAACAGTCGCCGGCGTCTGTTCCGCGGACATACCACGGGTAAACCGCGGGTAAGCCAATTTTGCACATTTTCCACCACGGGCAACCGCGGGCAAAAAAAAATCGCGAAATTTTACCCGCGATACAGACGCGAAATGCTGTGTGACCGGGCCTTTACATTATATATTAACAAATAAGTAAAGATTCACATTCTGATATCACAAATAAACTTCCGGCTACGGTCATTTTAATGACGTTCATTTAACAATACATAATTACTGCTTATTGGTCTGTTTGAAGAAGTACGTTCCTAATATTGAAACACCGGAGCTTGATATGTTTTACGTGTAACCTAGCCTGTTTTCTGATGCAGGGCTACTACAAATTGGTCAGTTTAAGGACGTTCATTGGTCTGTTTGAAGAAGTACGTTCCTAATATTGAAACACCGGAGCTTGATATGTTTTATGTGTAACCTAGCTTGTGTTCTTATGTAGGGCTACTACAAATTGGTCAGTTTAAGGACGTTTATTTAACAATACATAATTACTGCTAACTGGTCTGTTTGAAGAAGTACGTTCCTACTATTGAAACTAACAACACTGCGAATTAGTCTGTTTTATGCACACTATATCTTATTTCCTAGTATAGAATTTCTACAAATTGGTCTGGTCAAGTAAAGTAACTGCTTGTTGGTCTGTTTAGGGAAAAAATTGTAATACAGAATTACACTTACAATGGTGGCAATGGGTCTTATGGGGCATGTTTAAAATTTTAAGAGAATTTCTCCCCAAATCTAGAACCACCGTCAATACATATGTTCTACCAAATGTATTGCTTTTGTCAGATAGAAAAAATGACTAGTGTTCTGCTTAAGTGAGTTTGTTAAGAATATTGATATGCACCTCACTTCATATATAATCTGTTTTAGGGAAGTTTGTTTTCCTAGTACAGAAACGCCGGCCCTATTGGTCCCTTTTATGTAGTATGTTGTCTATATATATAGAATCACTGTCAGTTTTTACTTGTTTATATAATATCGAAATGACATGCACACGCACGAAGACATTAATTCTATCAAATGTACCGTATATTTATTAAAATATAAGTAATAATAATGTTCTCAAATAAGAGACGATTGGAAGATTACTGTATAGAGCAAACCGTTAACAGGACATTGGTGTCGTAATCCCGCTGTATGTAAGGCAGTGGTGCTCGCTCTCTAGATAGTACGATGTCATTCTAACTCTTTCCATTATGAACATAATCATAACTTTATTGCGTAATTATTTCGAGGAAACAGTAGACCACAATCGATCATATTTAAGTCGAAAATTTCAAGATACCGTAAAAAGCTACGCTAATGGTAAACATGGAGCAGTGTGATGTGCCTGGGGTAACACGTGTTTTTGTCAGAGTTGACGATCCTAAACATGCCTGTTCTATATTATCGACGCTATCGATCCCTTTAGCCTTCAAGGGTTATGACTTTTGTGTAACTTTTTTCTACATTTCTTTTGCTCCTGTTTTTTAACATTTCCTGAAACGGGTATGTTAAAAAGCGTTAGTACTTATTCTACAAAGAAACATGGTAGCGTAAAGAATGTTTCTTTTGTTGTAAGTATATTAAGGGGATAAAATATAGGGGGCAAATGTTGAATGATATCAGTGCAGAATTTCTTTATTACTGTGTTGAGCGTGTGGCACAAGATTTCTGCAAAATCATGAATCGGAGCATTGATTTACACATTTCCAGTCTCGTAAAGAGTCTTCAGCAGGGATCGATACTTGGTCCTCTGATGTTCATCATTTGTATCACCGATTTTCCCTCTTTTAATCCCGTTTTCATATGACTTAATTATAAGCTGTTGGAGTACATCAAAACCCATAGAAACAAACAACCCCTCTTTTAAACTCTATACTTACATATGTATGCTGATAATTCTACCTTTGAGGCTTTTTCGTTGACGTTATAAATGACAAACATATCCCTGAAGGGTGTCGTTCTGTTAAAATGGTTGTCAATACTAGGTGTAACTGTCGATGGACGTTTATTTTGAACTGCTCATGTTAGCAAAGTATGAAAAAGCTGTCATTTTACATGTTAAATAAAGCGATTGAGAATATTTTTAAAAAAACATTCTTCATGTTTAACATATCTACCCATGTAAATGCAACCAAGCTTGAGAGACTGCAAATAAGAGCATCAAAATTATGAAAAGTTCTTTTTACACAACCAATAAGAGTTTCTATGTGATGTTTCGATTACTAGTACGGTATTGTACACTGTCACCTTCATCAGACAAATGATCAGTAAAGCGTATGCACACAAAGGTGTAAAATGTGTACTAGTTGTACACAAAATCGATGTCGATTTGGCAACGCTGTTGTACATACGCTTACAGCGTAGCCGTATCACATAGAAACTCGTATTGGTTGTGTAAAAAGAACTTTTCATACTCCATACTTACCAACCTGAAGAAAATGATAAGAAAGAGCATCAAGAGTTGTTATAAACTGTGATGTATTAGACCTATGTCTCACAGCTTATTTTACCCATCGTCATTTAAAACAGACATGTTTAAGAAATATTTTACCTACCAAGGAACATTATATAAACTTCGCGTTGGTCTTTCAAAGAGCAAAGAGAAGCTTTACGGATTTATCTTAGTAAGGAATATTTCATACTTCTTCGTGTTTTATCGTTTTAATTGTTTCTTTTTATAATTACTGTACATTTCTAAATAAATGTATAACTTCATCAAATGTCAGATGAGTACTTGACTCAATTTCGTCATCAATTATAAATAAAGATGATCATTATAAGCATAAACGCAGAACATATCAAACGTCAAAAGAAATATAAATTATGTAGCGAAATATATGATTTGTAAACACATCGTATTATGTAAACGTATATATCAACTTTTCAAATTTATGTATAACATTGCAACAGTATTTCTTTATAAAAATGAAATTGTCAAGAACCGACATGTTCGGAACTATACAAGATTACAGTACTTACTTCTATAATGATCGGTGAATGTAGACACCTGAAGGGTTACAAAAAGTTCTTCGTGAGTATGGTTCTGTAGTCGACAACTTCCAACAGTATTATCCAGGTCAAAGGACATACATTCGAACTCCACCTCTCTTACACACAGTTCTGCACATGCTTCAACAGAGGAGTTCCGTATTGTTTTGGCGGGAAGTGTTGACAGGTGCATCTGTGGCATGCGGACAAACAGGGCCCGAAAGCTGGCAAGATTGGCTGAAATGTACAAGGCAAATATAAAATTCTAAATTCTACAGAATTATTAGAAGCAAAACAAAACAACAATATTTAAAAAAGGCGTGATTGGACTTATCCTTAATTAGACGTGTCAGTAAAACAAGCCAAACATGATTTATAGACAATTACTTAAATGTTCTTCGAATAAATTTTCAAATGAATTAGAATACAAGCATCGTTAGTGTTTATTTGTGAATATGGGTTGATATGCTAGTATTCTTGAGGTACATGCTATGTACAAGAGCAATGTATCATATAAAATGTATCTATAGACACAATTCGTGGATTTTCAATTCTCTTGATGAATCGGGACCGCATTCTCTATTGTTTAGTCCTTTACGGCTTTTTGTGGTGTTGGTTCGCTGAGAATATTTCAAACGCGCCAAACAGGGACTCCCATGAACATTTCTCTACTTGTTTGATGAATCTTATAAGAAATATTGTCCAATTCATATACATGACTGAATTATTTACAACAACAAAAAAAGAAAACCACAAATATTGCAACTATACGATGCTTCATTTGTGTGCATATGACCATTGCCTCATAAGGCCAAATCGTGTACATATCTACTGATTTCTTTACAGTGTTTGATACTGCAGTATATAGTGTCTATCTCGTTATGATAATGGGTTCGCTGATCTATATTTCTAAATATTATTGAAAAGCATTTTCCGTTTTAGTGTATTAAAACCTGATATCATATCATAGCATATGATGACGCAATCTTATTGCGTTTTGAAACATTCAAACTTCCGTCCTGGAGGTCTGTCAACTAAGCAGCGACACACGATTCCTCAGTAAGGTGAATGACGATCAAAGTGTTCTCAGCTACAACCTCGCGCCTTAAGGTGATCGCTCAGTATATACATCAGCAATCATACCTTTAACGTTTTTGCATCTGTTGAATGATAATCATAAAATCATTAAAGTCGACAATTGTAACTATAGCAGTTAATTATGCCATAGGGGCACAAACAGTCTACTTTTATATTTTATATTTAGCGCTTAGCTTTCGCATTGTCTTCCATTTGTGGTACTTTCAGAAAGTCTTTGATCCTGGAAAAAAAAGTTTATTTATGTTTGAAATAGAGAAAAACTGCCTAAAAAGAGCTAAAACGCATCTTTTATGGTATATTACCAACAGTTAATTTTACACGCACTGCAACGATTTGTAAGTGATCGGATTTCGTTATTATCTTTGTCTTTGTAAACATTTTCAAAGAAAATTACCCAAAGTGTGTTGGTCCGATCTTTGCCTAATCAATACGTAGGTTGCTTTTTACCATTAATTGTCTCAAACACTGGCCTTAATTGGCTATAAACAGCGGCTCGTAGACGGGGCAAACTGGGTCTATCTCCGCGTGAGGCCAAGGTTTATCTCCCCTCGGCCGAGCCCTGGCGGAGTGAGCCCAAGTTTATGGACCGCCGTTCAATGGTTATCGACAGGGAAGATTTAGGGAAAGGAAGTTAGTACAGCTTCAATTATCGCGTCGGTACGGAAGCCTTAACCAGCAAATAGATCACTGCATATACACCAATGCTTTACTTCATGTCTTTATTAGTCATAGTCTACATAAAAATTGTTAAAACAGCTTTGTCAGAATGACCTCCCTTTGTAATAATTCCATATGATGGCGCATACGATGGATCGAGAGACGGACTGAATACATGTATTGAGGAAAATAGGAAAAGTAAGAAATAAGAGTCTATTTAACGTAATACTATTTTGTTCAATATATACTTCGATTTACAATTTCAACATATTTGTTTTGTTCTATTGCTTTTAAAATCAGTTTTATTTCACTGATCTGCAATAATGAATCTTAAAAGGATTTTCTTTTTGCCGGAATCTGATTTTCGTCATCGTTACGACCCAGTCACGAAATATGTATTTAAAATGTTTGTAACTAACATAAAAACATAAAAAATAGAAATATACGACTGATATATTGCTCTTATCTTCACTAAATAATGCACACCACAGATAGTGGTTTGTACTTCTGGTCAAACGAGGTTTCCATTACTGGCTGTCGTAGAAAAGCCACTATCTTTGCGAATATTTCAGAGACAGTTAAACTATGTTAGGTACTTTAACGATGTGGTTACAACAGAGAAAAAAGCAATTTGTATATTAGCATTGTCTCTCGTACCAGTAAAGCACAGACGGGGTCGTAAAACTTATCTATTTGTGTTCTAAAACCCGAACCGATGACCGGAAAACGGAATTCCGGACCATGTGAAGTAACCCCATTATTGTAAATAAAAGGGGTTTTATCTTCATCGGACCGTGTTCTTGAGATCCTTTATAAGCCCTTAATTGACTTGTTCATTACAAGTAATTATTGATTACAGATAAAATTCGTCCAATTTATCGGCCCTGAGTGACCATAACTACATTCCTACAAATGACCACGTGTCCAAAATTTTCCCGCGGGAGAACACTTCTTCGCTCACAAACAATTAACTGGGCCGGGTTTCCACTTAATTACCAACACTTTAAGGTCAGTCTGGACAAAGCTCCACTAGACATTCAGAGAACTATGGCAAAACGACAATATCTTCTCGAGTCTGATTATCAATAGACATGTCAAATTCTGTTTTCAGTAATACCATAATACCCCTCAAAATGGGTGTATAAAACCAGTAGATATATTTTTATTATGTGTGTTTTCCAGTATGAAATTTCTGAGAGAAAAAATCGTTTTCTCAGTTTGGCTAATGTAACATAAATAAATGTAATCAAGTGCTTTACTAATGAATTATACATTATTATTCCAAACAAAATTAACAATAGGACTAATGATAAAAAAAAAACCTATACAGATGTATAACGGTGTTTATTTTTTACATCAATACGGTGTTTACTTAACCTCCGTATACAGGAAACCCAGTGAGCTAACTAGTCCAGTAACAAATATTTACACATCTCACGGGGAAGCTGTATTTACGAAGTAGTGTAAACAACTACACTTACGTTGTTTGTATTTAAATAAGCGGTGATCGTTATCTATTGCAGCGACTATCCCAAACCGCAAGGACAAATTTCAAAAGTGGCATATTAGTGGATTTTCAGGGATTCTCTGAGATTCAGAAATCCCGACTCGGAGTTATTTTTAAACATCAAACTGTAACGAGCAATTCTGATGAATTCATAATAAAATGATTCGATAAATTTTCTGAAGAAACCACAACAAGGTATTTCAAGCTATTTGTTTCAAATACCAAGTAGAGTTTTTAAGCCTGTTGTTACCTTATATATACACTCTCCGATCGTACATAGGTGACTCTCATGAGTCTAATCATGGTGACAGCATGCTGACAGACCTGTACCGCGGTATTATGATTGAAACTTGCTTTGTACATGTATCAGGGAACTATAGTTATCTTAACAACACTGTCCTATACCAAAAGGGCAATAACTCTGTCAAAGTGCTCTCAGAGGTAAGTGTTAGATACACATACACAGCTTCCGCTGATGTTGGTAAGTTCTACCAATTTCCAATTAAACCTGGTAATTTGGTGACTCGTTATCCGAACAGACGGACAGACGATCGGACAAGTTTGTCTCTAGTATAACTACTAACTTCTTTGTAGAGTGGGGATGGGTATAGAAATAAAAGTTTAATATTAATATGCTGAAAATTGCTGGGCATGCCAATTACAAAATCAGACAGCAAAATTCAACGGACTACTGAGGAACCCATTCTTGTCTACAGATATCTTCACTTTTACCCAAAACAACACATACAGCCAATACTGTTTTCACGATTACCAATATAAACGTGTCTTTTTTTGTAAGAACTGGTTTCGGTACGTCAGCCATTGCCACTTATATCACAAACAAATACCCATGGGATTGTACAATGAACAAGTGTAGAGATACATGAATGTATATGCATATTAATTTGATTGGTTAGTCGGCCATATTTACATTTTCCCGACATTCCATTGTATGAGTACCCTGGAAACAACTACACGGCGATGAGGCGACAGACCTTTTGTATTATCCAGCGCACAGCAATTGTTACCACGAGAAAAAATGTTAGATGAATGGTTAAGAACCTTTTTTTAATTATGATGGAAATGAGGTCGATATATTAGAAATCTCTAACCTTGATTTGTATTCACATTCAGAACGAGTTTCGGCTGTATGAACTTATGGTGAATGGGTAGCACACAGTATACGGAACTGTTCTGTTTAATCACTTTTACGGAATCATATTCAGAATATTTATACGAAGGAATTGATTTTCTAGGGACGAATGTACGTGTTTAGTTAATTAGTACCAATCCAATCACGGGTACTATTCAGGTCATGCTCGTGTGTGTACGCGGACGGAGCATCAATGGGGAATTGTAGTAATTAACTACTCTAGTAAGAAATAATTAACATACGCGCGTCTGTTATGTTGGGATATCTAACGAGGGTGATCAAATCGACGTTTCGGCCTGTGTTAATCATTTTCCCAACATTTTCGAATCCTGAGTTGTATATTCCACCACAATATACAAACATATGTTAATGTTATCTATTCTACCACATGAAGACGAATTCGCCTTCGTGTCTATTTCAGTGGCTATAACACAAGGTATAGTCTAGATAATCTAATTATTCAACTTATTTCACATACAATTAACTTCTGCATGAACAGTGTAAGAGGTTACTTTTCCACATGCCCGTTGCAAATTAAACATGGAAAAGTTTCATTACATGGCCAGAATGGTATCTGTTTGGGTCTGTACCAGCTGATGTCAACACCTCGGGATGAATGAAGGACCTTGAAGTGCAAATAATCTTTGTCGTTTGTGGTCAAACGACCAAGTGAAAAATACCATAACCAACGCAACGCTTTATCTCTTTAACGCCATCAAATAAACGGTGGACCATCATTTTACAAAAAAAATGTAGTTCACAACCGTTATAATCAGCGATACAATATTCCAGATGTGTCACTGCTTTTTAATCGTAGTGGAT